AGGAGCCTGGCCCCGCCCCTGCCCAGGCTCCACCCCAGACTGTTGGCCCTGCCCACCTGCCTATCTAGGAGCCTGGCCCCGCCCCTGCCCAGGCTGGGGCCCCAGATCCCTGCTGGCTCCGCCCACCTGTCCATCTTGGAGCGCCGCTCCACCGACGTGATCTTGAGCTCCCCGTCGATCTTGGGCCGGCCGTAGTGGGCTAGAGACTGGTCCTACACAGCAGGCAGGGGGTCTGGCAAGGGGCCACCAAAGAAGAGACCAAACACCCTCCCCTCCCCACGTGGCCACACCCCTGGCCCTCCCTGCCCCTCCCCCTCACCAGGTTCTCGATGGACAGCTGGAAGTTGGTGATCTGCCGCAGCGTCTCGTTGTCTCGCTTGACCTCGTTCACGCACTGCGCCAGGTCCTGGGGGTGGGACAGGGGTGAGCCTGGGCCACCAGGCCCAATCCCCTACCTGGCCGGGGATAGGGGGTCCACCCCCACTAAGGGCCGGCAGGAGGCATAGAGAGGGTGTCACAGCATGTCACTGTCCCCAAGGGGGATGCTGCGGATAACTCACTCCTCATAGAAGGGTGTGGCCGAGGGGGCCGGAGGCGGGGGGTGATGCCGTGGGTGTGACCGTGGGCCTGCATGGCACTGCGCAGCACTGCCTGGAATGTGCATGTGCCTGTGTGTGACATCACCCCTGCGTGTGACCATCACCCCCGTGCCCCACTCACCCTCATGGCATCCAGGGCCAGCCGCAGGTTCTCCTTGTCCACCGTGTCCTGTGTGTGTTTTACCAGCTCCTGCGTGACCCAAGGAGACAGATGTCACCTGGGCTGCCTGCTCCTCCTGGGGGGCCTTCTAAATAAGCCTGGTCCACCAGCTCCTCCTTCCTCCTCTTTCTGTCCCTGGAGGCTGGGGCAGGGCCAGAATGACCCACCCAGAGTGTCCTAGAGCCCAGCCCCCAGAAGACAGCCCCGCCCCCACTCCTGTGACACAGAGAGGTAGCCACGCCAAGCCCAGGCCGAGGGGCCCCCACTTGTGCACCTGGAGGAGGAGGTGGTACTTCAGCACCCGTTGCATGGGCACCATCAGCAGGTCCCGCAAGGTGAACCTCCCATTGTTCGCCCGCTGAGAACACTCCTGGGGGACCAGAGAACCAAGTCAGGAAGATGAAGTGGTGGCAGGTGCAGATTTCCTAGAACCTGAAGCCTCAGATCTCCCCAGGTGGAAACAAGGCAGGAAGGATGCAGTGGGGTGAGGGGCGGTTTAACACCCAGCTGGAAGGCCAGCAAACGCTGCCCAGGTCGAGGCCCAGGATTCCACGTGTTGTGTGGGGCTGGACAGAGGGAGAGGGCCGGGTCTGGAGCATCCCCACCGTGGAGACCAAAGAGGCTGGATGTACGCACACACAGGTGGATCCTCATCATCCCTGCCCGGTCTGTGCTTCCACTAGACATATGGGTCCAGGCTGGGGTTCAGTCCACGATTGGGCTTAACCCTGGATCAGCGCTTGAGTGGGATCAGGGCTCAGTGTGAAGTTGGAGCTCAGCCCAGACTTGGGGCGCAGCCAGGGTTGGGGCTCAGCCTGGGGCTGGGGTTCAGTTTGGGATCACAGGACCTCAGCCTGGTGTTAGGGCTCAGCCCAGAGTCGGGGTTCAGCTGGAGTCAGGCTCAGTGCTCTGGCCCATCTCCTCCGGCTCCATTCCCACGACCCCCCACCACCACCACCGGCTGCTTGGCGCCTCCCTCCCCAAAACTTCAGCAGGCAGACCCCTGACTGGGCTGCAGCAGCAAGTGGCACCCTCTCCAATTCAGTCTCCTCCTGACTGCCCCCAGGGCCTGGGAGGAAGTGGGAGAGCCCCCCAGATGTGGCCTGGCCCCCACCTCCAGCTTCATCTGCACATCCTCCCGGGCTGTGGCCACGCGGTCCAGGTGTTTGCTGGCCGACTCCACCTGGCTGCAGTAGCGGCCGTAGATGAGGAACCTGCGGGAAGAGGACAGGAGGCCAGGTAATGGTGGCTGGCACCAAGGTCGGGGAGATCTGGGTGTCAGTCCCAGCCCTGCCTCTTCCCAGCTGGGTGACGCTGAGCCTCAGTCTCCCCATCTGTAAAATGGGCATAACGATGGCACCACCCACATGAGGTTATTGTAGCATTAAATGAGATAACGCACCAGAAACTCTTAGCACAGCACCTGGCGTATCATCTCTGCTCAATATTCATTTATTGAACAAACACGTATTGAGCACCTACTGTGTGCCAGGCCCTGTGCTAAGCACTTTAAGCATCAATTTATTCAGTCCTCACTACAACCCCAGGAGATACATTCCTGTACCACAATGATTTTATAAATGTGGCACAAGCACAGAGAGGTTAAGCGACTTCCCAGCGCCATACAGCTCGCAAGAGGCAGAGCTGGGAATTAAATCAGAGGTGGGCAGCCTCTTGCCCAGGAGCATACAAGGAAAAGCCCTCCCAGTCTAGTGGTCTCCGACGCAAGTTCACCCACAGGCCCAGCCTGGACAGGGCAGGGTGACCTCCAGGGCTGCAGCCTGACCAGCTAGGTCTTACCTCTCCTTGTATTTGATGAAGACTTGGTAGAGGGTGGGCGCGTTGAGGGTAGCCAGGGCTTCCTTCATGTCCCTTAGGAAGTGGGTGTGCACGCGAAGCAAGTCCTACTCGGAGAGAGGGATGAGGGCTGGGGCTGGAGCATGGGGGCTCAGGAGGCCAGGCAAGACAAGGCTTATCCACCTGCCCTATGTTCCTCAACTCCCAGCTCCCACACTCAAGGGACAAGTGGGGCCAGCAGACTGTCCCCACTAGACAGAGGTCCAGGAGGGCTGGGCATTGGCAGGCTCACCTCGATGTTGATGAAGATGATCTCGATGTCTTGAGGTTTAAGGAACCGTTGCAGGGGCTTCATGAAGTGCTGTGGGGAAGGGAGAGAAGGATGAAGAAGGTGAGACCCCTCCCTCCAGCCCAGTCCCAGAGAGACAGGGACAAGGAGACAGAGACAGAAAAAGACAAATAGAAATAGAGAGACCGAGAGAGAGAGATAGATGGAGAATGTCCACAAAAAAACCTGTACATGACTGTTCATGGCAGAATTATTCATAATAGCCAAACAGTGGAAACAACCCAAACGTCCATCAATGGATGAATGGATAAACACAATGTGGTCCATCCACTCACTGGAATATTATTCAGCCATGAAAAGGAGTGAAGCCCTGACACATGCTACACCGTGGATGAACCTTGAATACATGATGCTCAGTGAGAGAAGCCAGACATAAAAGGCCACATAGCACGTGATTCCATTGACGTGAAATGTCCAGAACAGGCAAATCCATAGAGACAGAAAGTAGATTAGTGGTTGCCATGGGCTGGGGGAGGATGGGAGCTTAGAGGGTGATGGCGAAGGGGTATAAGCCTTCTTGGGGGGATGATGAAAATGTGTTAAAATTAAACAGTGGTGACAGCTGCACAACCTCGTGAATATACCAAAAGCCATCGAATTGTGTATGTTAAATGGGTGAATTGTATAGTATAGTAATTAAATCTCAATAAAACTGTTTAAAAAGGGATAGCGAAAGGATAGAGAGAATAGAAAGTCAGAGAGACAGACAGAGATGAGGAGACAGGGAAAGATATAGACAGGGATAAAGAGACACATCAGGAGAGAAACATAGCCAGATGAAGCAGAAAAAGAGACAGATAAAGAGAGAGACAAGATAAGGAGACAGGGCGAATGACAGGGAAAACCAGGGACGAAGAAAGACAAAGCAATGGGGACAGGGAAGCTCCCCAGGCCTGCTTGGGACAGGTGAGGTCTCTCACGTGCCCTGGAGGCGGCGACACAGGTGGCTGCGCACCTGCGCGCCCAGCTACCGCGCATGCGCCTGGCAGGGGCTGAGTCGGAGCACCGCACCTGTTGGATGGAGCCCAGCGTGTCCGTGTACTTCTCCTCCGTCTGCTGGATCTCCCGCAGGCAGCAGCACCGCTTGTCATACTCCGTCATCTTGGGCTGAGGGCGGGGAGGAGAGGGTGGTGTTGCGGGGGGCCAGGGGCTGCCCCCGGCGCATGTGCCCGCCCAGGCCCGGCCCGCCACCCCACTCACCGGCATAGGCACCGGCTCCGAGCGCATGAGGTCCTCGTAGATTTCGTCGCCCTCGGCCTCCTCGTTCTCCACGCAGTCGTACAGGTCCTCATCTTCCTCCACTGTGTCGCTGTGGGAGCCAGAGTCAGCCAGTGTCAGCCACCGGGGCCCCCAGGCCGGGGAACACCCCCGACCCCCCTTCCAGCCCAAAGCCGTGTCCCCTCGGACCCCCAGGGCAGGGTCATGTCCTTCTTAGACCCACCAGAACAGGGCCATGCTCCCCTCAGTTCCCCCAGGGTAGGGCCATGTCCCCTCAGACCCCCCATGGCATGGCCGTGTCCCCTCCGACCCCCGAGACAGGGCCATGTCCCACTCAGTCTCCCCACAGTAAGGCCATGTCTCCCTCAGACCCCCAGGGCAGGGCCGTGGTCCCAGACACTCACTCAATCTGGTCGGACAGGCCATTGTAGATGTCTTCATCACCCATACTCTCCTCCTCAGTGGGGAAGGGCCTGGGGGAGCCAGGATGGTGTAAGCCAGAGGCGGGGGGGGCCCAGTGGGGAGGGGGCTTCAAGGAGGAGGAGGATTGGGGCCGAATGGGTCCACAGCGGTCGGCTCAGATGGTTACTCACATGATCCCCTTGTTCTGCGCAATCGGAGTCCAGGACAGAGCGGACAGGGTGTAGATGACCTGTGACAAGGTGTGTGGCTGCTCAGCGAGCCCCTTGCCCACCCCCACGCCAGAACACAACCGGGGACTCCAAGCACCTGAGGCTAGATCTTGAGGTGAGACCCCACGCCCCTGGGAGCCTAATTCAGGATTTTCTCCACCTTGGCATCCCCCGTGTCAGCGTTCCCTTAACTGGGCACCCACCACTTGATCTCCTTGTTCTACTTAAACCTCACAACCACTCAGAGAGAAGAGGATGATATTATTCCTATGTTACAGAGTGGGGACCTAGGGCTCAGAGAGGCATGGCCACACATCTGAGGTCACACAGGAAGTGAGACTCAAGCCATGCTTCCACGTGTCCCAAGCCATGCTCTTTGCACCTGCTGTACGGCCCGGCCTGACTCGTCTGTCCTTCCTCTGGCAGCCCTTTGCTTTCCCGGTGTAGACATTCATGGAAATGGATTGAAATCCGGTATTCCAGCTCTGTGTGCCCAGCTCACGGGCCGCTCGGCCCCAGCTCACCTTCCCGAAATCCTGCACATCGAAGAGGTCAAAGGCCTCAAAGAGTTCACTCCGCTTGAGGCCAAACTTTTCACAGCAGGTCGACAAGAAGGTGCGGATATTCTTAAGGCACAGGAACTGTGGCGAGAGAAAGAGATAAGGGTGGAGGGTACCTAACAGGACAGAGGGGAAGCTAAGCCCTGGACAGTCTGACTTGGGGACTGCCACAGAAGGGGAAAAAAGGCACAGCCCCCCTCTCAGTAAACCACACTGTGTTCTGATAAAGATCAAGCAGTACCTGAAGCCAGATCTACCCCTCAATGTTTTTTATTGAAGTAAAATTCGTGTAACTTAAAACTAACCATTAGCTGATAATAAAATGTGGTATATACATGCAGTGGAATATTATTCAGCCATTAAAAAGGAAAGAAATTTTGATTTATGCTATGACATGGATGGACCTTGAAAACATGATGCTTAGTGAAATAAGCCAGACACAGAAGGAAAAATACTGTGTGATTCCACTCACAGGAGATCCCTAGAGGAGTCAAATTCATAGCGACAGAAAGTAGATGGTGGGGGCCAAAGGTTGGGGGAGGGGGGTGGGGAATTAGTGTTTAATGGGGATAGAGTTTCAGTTGGTGATGATGAAAAAGTTTTGGATAGAGATAGTGGTAATGGTTACACAACGTTGTGAATGTATTTGCTCCCACTGAATTGTACACTTCCAAATGGTTAAAATGATAAACATTCTCATTTTATGTATACATTATTCATATATTTTATAAATTTTTATTTATA